GTTTAAAGAGTTATTTTTTTAAATATCAAGAACAATCTCTACTCTCGAATCCATGAGCGTGGTTGTATAAAATCCCTGTCGAACTCTTAATTTGAATTAATCTGTGACATCACATGTGGGCAGAGTCAGGACATGCACGGACAAATTCATATCTGCGGCTGTAACGAGACATCGTTGTTTGTTTGGATGTGTGTGCGTTCTTGACAACGTAAGTTTCCATTATTATACTTTAAGTGAATGTGTATGTGTATAAGTAGACGCAGGTATGTTTATTCAATGCTATATCGTTGTTTGTGGTGATATTTATGCACATGCTATTGTTAAGAAGAGAGTTTCGATTAACAGACAGGCACAAATATACGGTCACTCTCTGTGTTTATTGCAAATGCATATATTAACCATGCTGATATTGATCGCTGAAATATTTGTGTGATGTTATTTAGTATTTTATTTACAGTTTGAGAGTGTTGTTTAGGTGATTTATCACGAGTAGGCCCATTTGAATTTGTTTAGCACCAAATCTTGTGACTCTGTTCTATTACTGGAGCAAGAGCTCCGCCTAGTGTTCATTTGTTTACTTTCATTTAATACTGCAATTCCCAAAGTTAGTATTGCTTTATTATGGCAATATATATACCAGCATTGTAGTTAAATATTTGATGTTTATTTAATTTATTCATTGTTATTCATTTATTTCAGAAACCACACTCATAAAACTACATGTAAACAAACTACTTGTGGATTTATTGGAATAAATCAATGCTTGGGAACTGAAGCTGTCATGAACTTATTTGCTTACAAATCTTCTGATCGAGGTTGAGGATGAGATGTTGACAAACCAGTCCATTAATGTACATACATCTTTAACAAAGTGGTCCTTCGAGCCGGATACAACATCTCATCCTCATGGCAGCATCTCGGGATTATATTGAAGAACATCAGAGTCTCCGTCCTTGCCGGATCCGACGAATTCCTGGACATCTGGAGGACTTTGTACTTGCTTCCCAACCACGGCAGCTCGTTCCACCCCCCTTTCAAGAGGATTTACGCCATATGCAGATTAGTGAGACCTTTTCTGATCCAGATGTGGACTATCGAACTTCTACTCCTGATAGACTTTTGATTGAGCAGTACCCTGAGACAACAAGGTTACGTAGAGTGGAGGAGTGTGTATGGAATGTTCAAGAGCAAATCAGGGAACTACAAAGCACATTACAAATGTCTCTTGAGCAAGGCAAAGGTTCACCACGCATGCATCAGGATTTGCTTTACTCTCATGCCGCAGGTGCCGGACATCAAAGGTCAGTCTCTCACTCAGGCAGTCAGCAGCAATCCATCCAGCAACGTAGTGCCAGCCTGCCTTTTCTCTATGCAGACACAAGACCAATTCCACAAAGCCCTTGTAATCTTGGAATATCAAGGTACTTTTCTCAAACGATACCTGCACACTCATCAACCACAGGATTACCTCAGCCACATAGTCAATCTCCAGTCCACCTGCCACCAGGGTTATTACCTCAGGCTCAAAAGCCCTTGTCTCGTCCAGCATCTGTCCCGGTTACTGAGCGTCATGTAGCACTACATGTGCCACGCCCAGAGTCTGCTCCAAGAGGTATGATACATCAGTCAAATGTCAATCAACAACCTGGTGATCTTGAGCAGACATTTCAGCCACAAGTCCAGTCCTTCGAACAACGATGCGTACCTCAAATGACATCCATGTCTGCGGTGTACCGAACTGTAACCGGCAAACAGCCAGTTTATTCACTTCCTATGACCTCTGTGCAGAGCAATACTGTAAATCCCAATTATGTGCAACCACAGATCACACAGTCATTACCAGCATTTGCTCCTTCACAGCCTCCGATGTTTCAGTACTCAGAACCTCCCCCACTGCAATCTGTGTATTACTCAGATCCATACACACAGGGCTATCGGCCTAACATACCCCCAGACACACTACTTCAGCAACAGCCATACTCAGCACCCTTATCTTCTACCGTACACCCAGCAGTTCAAGTTCCAAGCATGATGGATATGGCTATCGCATCCGCTTATGGAATACCTAAGCCTAAGCTCATTAATTTCACTACTGGGAAGGAGAGTGATTTTGCTCTGTTAAAAAAGGGACTTGATGGCATTCTCGGCCCACATCTCCATTTGACAGAGGACTATAAATTTCAAGTGTTACTTGACCATCTCAAATTACCAGCTGCCTTCCAAATAGCAAAGAGATACATGTATGATCCCATGCCTTATACTCGAGCCATGCAAGCTTTGCAGCATCGCTATGGGCAGCCCCGACAACTGGTACAGGGAAAAATTGCCAACATTCTCCATACACCGCCACTGAGATCAGGGGATGCTCAAGGTTTTGAAGACTTTGCTTCATCAGTTAGCACTTTGGTTGGTCTCCTTGATACATTGGAAGGGTCTTCCAAGACTGAACTTATGTGTGGTTTACATGTCGATAGATTGCTCACCAAGCTCACATCATCTCATAGAGATAGCTTCGTTGAATACTGTATGGCCAAGGGCATTCTCCAGAATGGCACTGACATAACCTACACGCTTCCTGAGTTCGCAGAATGGTTAGAGAAAAAATCACAAGCGCTTCAGATATCAAGGAGAGCAGCTGAGATCTACAGTTCAGATAGACCTCGTTTTGAGAATAGAGAACAAAAACCTCCAAAGCCACCAAAGGTACAATCCACAATTTACTATGGCATGGATCATGCGAACGAGAAGCCTTCTGCCTCCTCTACATCATCTCTCCAGACAAAGGTAAAGAAACGTGAAAGCTTTAAGCCGTACTGCCCTTTCTGCAAATGTCAACAGCATTACCTCAATTCCTGTCCTGAATTTGGCAAATTAAGTGTTGCACAAATAACAACATGGATAAAGGACAGCAACAAATGCTGGAGGTGTGGTAGAGGACATGAGCCTTCACACTGCACCCTGAAAAAGCCATGTTCCAAATGCGGTGAACAACATTTGTCAGTTCTCCATGAAATCGCATCCAACATCAATAAGAGCATCCTTACTGTGAATACAGTACCCCGCACAATTTACCTTGATCAAGTTACTCATTCTGGCCGAGTCATGTTGAAAGTGGTCCAGGTCAAACTCCATAGCAAAGGGAGAATATTGGACACGTATGCCATTCTAGATGATGGGTCTGAAAGGACCATAATTCTTCCCACAGCAGTGCATTACCTTGATCTGGATAAGGCAGATGAATCACTTGCCCTCAGAACAATTAGACAAGAGGTAGTAGAGATCCAGGGTGCATCAGTCTCATTTGAAGTGTCTGCCTCTGTGAATCCGAGCATTCGTCACAAGATACACAATGCCTTTACATCACAAGAGCTGAACATTGCCAAGCAATCCTGCCCTGTAGAGACTCTAAAGCACAAGTTTGCACATCTGAGAGAGGTTCCTATTATACCGTTCAAAGAGGTACAGCCCATGCTACTTATCGATTCTGATTACCCATAACTCATCACACCGATAACTCCAGTACTTATGGGCCCATTAGGCAGTCCTGTGGCAGTTAGTACACATTTGGGCTGGGCCATCCAGGGTCCAACTACATTCCTAGACCAACCATTGGATACTACCTGTTTGAACATCTCGCTGTTACATGCTCCTACACAAGATCTGTCTCATCATGTTGAAAAGTTATGGCAAGTAGACATACTTCCCTTTCAGCCCATGAAAGACATTACACGATCCAAGCAAGACAGAGATGCTCTTCAGATGCTGGAAACAAGAACGAAGAGAGTAGAAGTAGATGGAGTCTCTCGCTATGCAACTCCTCTCCTTCGCAGAGGTAGTGCAAAGGTCTTGCATGCAGGTCCAGAATCAGTCATGGCTCTTTTAAGGGCCACTGAACGCCGTTTGAACCAAAACTCAGAGCTAGCAGACGTCTACAATAAAGAAATCCACAAACTGGAGCAAGCAGGATATGCAATAAAACTCACTCCTGAAGAGGCTAAAGGTACAAAGGAGTCCTGGTTTATTCCCCACCACCTTGTGCATCACAACAATAAAGCTAGGGTTGTGTTCAACTGTTCTTATCCGTTCCACCAAGCTTCACTGAATGATCAGTTACTTCCAGGACCTACGTTGGGTTCATCTTTATTGGGAGTTCTCCTCAGATTCCGACAATATCCTGTGGCCATCAGTGGTGACATTCGTTCAATGTTTCACCAAGTGCGCCTACTTCCAGAAGATCAGCCATTGCTGCGCTTCTTGTGGAGAGATATGGAAAAGGAGAGGAGTCCTGACATCTATGAGTGGCGAGTTCTGCCATTTGGAACCACATGTAGTCCATGTTGTGCAATCTATGCCCTCCAGCGTCATGCCTTGGACCACCGCGACAGCAATGAAGAGGTAGCAGACTCAGTATTGAAATCCTTCTATGTGGATAACTATTTGCAGTCCCTTCCCACAACATATGAAGCCAAACAGCTAATAGACAAAATGAGAGCTGCCCTATCAGCTGGGGGGGTTTGAAATAAGACAATGGGCCAGTAACTACCCAGAGGTAATTGCTCATCTACCAACTGAGGCACGATCGGAAAGCTGTGAGTTATGGCTGACCGTAAACAAGACAGACCCACAAGAATCGACACTCGGGCTCTCTTGGCACTGCCTCTCTGACAAGCTTGGCTATCGAAACAGGCCACTATCAACAGAGGAGCCTACCATGCGCAATATTTATAGAGTGCTAGCTTCTCAATATGACCCTCTTGGGTATATTTTGCCTTATACCACCCGGGCAAAAATCCTTGTTCAAGCTCTATGGATAAACAAAAGAGGCTGGGATGACTGCATTGAAAATGAGATGCTCAACAAATGGCAGGAGTGGACCAATGAACTGCAGTATCTTCCTTTGGTAGACATGCCGAGGTGCTATTTTCCAGTTTGTCCAGAACCTGACAATGACAGGATAGAGCTACACATATTCTGTGATGCCTCTGAACGGGCTTACGGTT